TCAAGTCTAAGGTCAACAAATATCTGTCCTCACTGGCTGTACTGTAACCCAAAACATTTTGAGTGGCTCCCACGAGCCTTGTTTTGTGGTGAATAATGAAGTAAAAAAAAAAAATAAAAGCTCAGGAAACTTTCCATGGGGTCATTGCTCGCATTTCATACCTCTAAAAGTTAACTGATCTCCGCCTTGGATGACTTCAGACTGGAGTTTGAATGTGTAGACATGAACCTGCCTTTGTAATGCCAATTACATGAGTCAGAATGACATATTCTAGATGTTAGGACAAAGAGGCCATTTCCTGGAGCGACTTTATGTTGCCTTCCCTTGTATCTTGACGATTCACTCTGTTTTCACCCTCGACTGCAGTGCCTTATGGTTTTATAGCTCGCAAGGGATCATTTAAAGTTTCCTTTTATCGCGGTGTTATACTCTCCAGTAGTGTAGCGCGGAGATCGCTGAAGGCATGGCTGATGATTTCTGATTGATAGATCGCCACGAGCAGTTATAACGTCTCCATGAGAACTAATAAAATGTCTGAAGCGCTCTTTCATCTGTGAGTCCTTATCTAAAGATGCAGGCAGCTTTGGACTGTCAACAAGATTTTCTTGCTTCTTCGGAGATGCGATGCAAAACTAACAAGCCTAGAGCTTCCTGAGGAACCTAGACTCTGTGATGTTGGGGAGCTTTTCTGCTGACAAATGACTGTTGACAAATTTTGTCCCCACAATTTGGCAGAACCCCAGGTGCCGAGGTAAACAGTTGGCTGTTTGGAGTAAGGGCCACATTTGGGACGTGGTGCCACGGTCATCAAAATTCTAGGAACGACTTAACGGCAACTTGTGTCAGTGAGAAAATGGCCTGCTCCAAATCGTTCAAACAAGGGAAAATAAGGGCCATCTTTATTTAACTAAACCGACAAATACCATAGTGATTTAAATAATCTCTAACGCTGGAAACACTTACATGTAATATAGGCGCCAATTCTTCACATAAAAGTGACCATTTCACTCTTATAAATCAGATAGGAAATGCTAATACAACCATATCAATCAGCTGAAACATGCTTGATTTGTCCACTAATTTTATCAGACATACGTGAGTCCACACATGACATAAGGCGGCTAGTTTGTACCGTATGACATCCTGTACCAGCGCAGTATTTCGGCCCCGGTCGGCTGACAATCTTGATTGAATCACGGCGGAATGACGAATAATTCCATCAGTAGTCTATAAAACACATGACAGAAACAGCTTTATCACCAGGTAAATTACCGGACAACTTGCCCTTATCGAGATGGACAGCCTGGCAGGGAATGTGTCTGATGCTTACTCCTCAACAGGGGGAGTTTGGATAATTGGGCAGAATTCCTGTCGAAAGACGCGGGATCCATCTTCTAGTGGGCTACTCGGTTGGTTATATGTAGACGTCCTACCCGTCTGGAGTCGTAAAGTTGACAAGTGTTGCTCTGGCCAGCTCACTGGCTACACTCTCTGATAAATATCTGTGGAATTTGTGGTGTCTAGATTTGATGGATTAAGTTTCAATGACCTGGCCCTGTGAACGTGAATGTTCTCTACTTAAAGCCGTCACGTACCTTCAAGGGACCACTCGGATGTGAGGAAAGCATGCAGCCGAGCAACAGTTGTTTGGGGAGTTTCACTGATCGCGACTCTAACGTTCGCCCTAGCTACGTGAACCGAATACCCAGAACATGAAATCAAGTTGCCGCCAACGCACCGTGAATGTTTTCACAGCATGTCTGCAGGGCAGGGACGGTGATAACATAGAGCAATTTTCCTACAATGTGCCAGAGACTGATATTGCTGTATTAGGCTTTTCAGACACATTAGGCGCAGTTCCGCCAGTGTAAATGGGTAAAATGCTGAACTGCTACTACACAGGACTGAATAAAGATATACAGTATATGATGAGCCAGAGGAGTGAGCTGGCCAGAGCAACACTTGTCAACTTAACGACTACAGACGGGCTCGCTGGGGTGACAAGTTGCTGTCACTGGCCAATCACATACGGCACATATCTTTATTCTGTTAAGGTAGCTGGTGTGGTAGGGACTGCTGAAGTGACATCCTCCTATGTACAGACCGATGGTCCCAGAGACAGGTGGCTGTCATCGGCGGCTGTTGAAGCCCGTTGGGTGGCGTGGTATCTCCGGTGAATTCGTTTGTTTCAAGAGTTGAATAGCAGTGGGCATTGTAAAATTTAATACACTCATATATATGTATTCAATTGCTTCAAAGGAAGACCTTTGAGTTTGAAGTCTAATGCGAAGGTCAATTCCCCTTCGACAATATTCCAAGATGACAAATGGGTTCTTCATTACAGGCCGGGAGGCTGGATGGGAAGATTGTGACCTTCTCTGACAGGACCAGGCTTCGCATTGTTGGCTGGGCCGGCTGTCAGGGAAGGGGGCAAGTCAGAAGGTCGCAACCTCTGCTTGGAAAGTAATATTCATCACAAAATGAATCAAAGAAGGACCATGAGATGAGACGGGACAGATTTTTCTATCACGGTCCTGCCCACCCCCACCCGTGAGTTTTGTTGGTACAGTCCCGTGCGTTATGAACAGAACTGCAGGAGACCGCTTGCCGTGGGTCCGGTCGACATCACCAGGGGAAGGTGAGTACTGATGCGAGTGTTGAAACAGCGCTGTAAAATAATGCCGGTTAGTTTTCTATGGATTGAAAACTAACCGAGTTCTGTTCATTAGTAACGTGGTCTTGAAGGTGGCAATGTGGTCTTGTGGCTAGAGTAGTTAACTAAGAACATGAAAGTTCTGGGTACGTATCCTTGGCAGGCCCCACTGTTGTGTCCTCGGGAAAGAACTTCACCTGACTCACGACTCGGTTGAAAATGAGTACCTAGCTTCGGTAAGGGACGTCCTCTCGGATAGGACGTAAAGCCGCGTAGGTCCAAGTCTCCACCAGGCTGCCGCGATAG